AGTGGGATTCCGGAAATACTTTAGAAGGCTTATAGTGAGATTCCATTTTAAAATTCAATACCTACAAGAATAAATGAATAATTAATTTCATTTATTTTACATTTTCATATTAGTGCATTAAAGTAACACAAGAACGATTATTAATGTTATCAAATGTGTATCGAAAGCCACAGGGATACCCATCCCTTCTAAGGTCAATGACATATGACCAACCCTCCAAGAAATTTTATTTCTCTCCTCTTCTTATAAAAAAGAAATTTAAAAAGTAGAATTATAAAAATTGTAAATGATATATAACTATCATTCTGTGATCTTTCTATGTTTTTCCTTGTTCTCAGGATTAAAAATTCCTCAGAATCGTGTCTAGTTAAAATGCACCCCCCTCACTCAAAAATTCAAAAATCCCACCTAGTAAAAATGTACCCCCTTAAGACTTTGGATGGTGGTAATTACGCCATAGAACCCACTTCTGGGTACTTTTGGACAAAGTTTTGAAAGTTTCTTGTTTCATGAACTAGATTTTCCCATTTGTATGCTGAAGAGAAACTTTTAAATAATAATTTTGGATTGTATAAAAACTGCAGCTTTCTGATGAAATTATAATTGTAGACTTTTTGAGTTTGGATGTCAATATACATAGACATTAAAAAGTCCCTGTCAAGTAAATATAAATTCAAAAGCAAAATTTAGAAAATTATACTTCTTTTGGCAAATATTATTCTTCCACTATGTAAGAAATAAATAAATAAAAAAATACTACTATTTACTAAACAAAGTTTAGTATAATCTCTTTGGGATCATCGCCCACTTTTTAAAGATAATTCCCGCATGGATGAAATTACAGCTCTTCCATGGGGTGGGCATGTGATCTCACAAAAGGTAACATACAAAAATAAATCATGGTGATTTATTTTATTTTCATTCGTTTTGATCAGCAGAAATTATTTCCCAATGCCGCCTGTAACTGATCGTAGTATTTGTCAAATCGGATGGGCCATTTTACAACTAATCTTTTTACTTTTTGTTATTAGAGCTTCTAGTAGTGAAGATTTTTTCTGTTAATTTTATTTTGTTATTCTTGGTTGGTGCAATAGACCATGTTGATGTTGATGTTTGGGCTCGCGATATTGTCTCTTCACAGACTTAAATTACTTATAATATATAATATACTTATGGAGCATGGACTCCATGTTGCAGCGGCAGGACGTCCATAGCTCTATTGACTTAAAACACTCTATTGAGTGTTTTAGCAAGGATTATAATAATGTAATTTATAGGTTGTATAAGAACTGTAAGACTTCCTTTAATTGATGTATTATGCGTATTATGCAAGGATCATGTAAGAAGATTAACATTACACAGCCTTCGTAGAGGGTTACTGTTTGAGAGAAGGAAATAAAAAAAATATGACATTGATAATCACGGTATTCGTATAGAAAAAAGTATCTGTCACAGTTCCTGCTTTCGAGAACTAACCGGTTGTGTTACCAGTTACCGCAGTTTCTAATACAGGACAATTGGCAGAGTAACCGGTGACCCACATCTGACCAGTGGCAGGACTGGCATGCAAATGGCAAGGATAACTGCCGATGGACCGTTATTGTAACTGTAGGGTAACCTCTACCTCAGGAAGCCAGCACAATTATCGATTAGGCCTTGCCACTGAGCAATCGATATAATCGTTGCTACCGAATACCTCTGGGAGTAATTAGTATTGTCTTTCTAGCTCGATCGTTCCGATTACAATAATCGTTTCTCTGAAGATGTTATCATTCAACGATACAATTAAGAATCGATAATTAATTACTATTGTGTAACCGAAATTGCTTCGATACAAAGAACTAATACTTTTTCTTTTCTATTGTTAAATATCATTTCACTATTACTTGCGAGAATCCTTGTTTTCAAATTGATTGTAATATTTGTGGGACAGTGAGGACGTGTCACTCCCCTCTCCTACCCCTCCCCCTCCCAGCCATTATCTCAATGATTGAATCAGTACGAAGTCAAATACGTACCCAATTGTACTCAATATCCAAAAAAATAAAAAAAATATTTTTCATTTATTCCTTTCACATACCTATAAAAGTAAGGAAAAGTATTACGATCGTGAAAATTTTCATAACAAATTCCCGCAAAATGGTCTCAGTGAGTAGACTGAAAAGTCGTACGAAATTGATCCTTTATATTATTTCTAAAAGGTGTTTTTTTTTTGTCAGTATAACTTCGTCAATTCTTCATCAAACCCAATGATTGACCACTCATTTTGAAGATATTCTGCTCCTTCTCAGACGAAAAATAGTCCTATCCTCCCGAACACTAGCGGATCCAGGATTTAATTTTGGGGGGGGGGGCTTCAGCCCGAAACCTTTTTTTTTCATAAAAATAACGATAATTACTTTGGAAAAACAGAAAGAAACTAACTTACTATATGAAATGGTGTTTAAGTTATTCCTTAAGTACTTTTAAATGTAATTACACGAACAATAATACTTTAAGAGGTATTTTTTAAATTTTTTTCCCATAAAACATGGTTATATTTTTTTATTTTTGGGGGGGGGCTTCAGCCCGAAAGCCCCCCCCCCCCGTAGATCCGCCCGTGCTCCCGAAATTTCTGGGGAAAAAATTATGGAATAAAAGAAACTTTATTTGCGAATAACTCAAAAAGTATGCATTTTCTCTTAATTATGCCCATCATAATTAGAAATATTACTAAATTACCTACAAAACAAAAAAAAAATCGTAAAATTCGGACAATTATTAACAAAGATACAGTCCATTAGTTTTGGTATACTCAATAATGACTTCCTGTTTAAAGATATTGCATTTAGGAATAGAATAGTCTACTACATTTTTTTTCCTGACTTTTATATTAACTTTATTATTTCTTAAAGACATTTGGTTGTTCTTACATTTTATTTTTTTTAATAATTTAGAATATCCTATGATCGGGGCATTATTTTGTCTTTATTACTTTTATTATCTTTCCAGTCAGCGTTTAAAAATAGGTTCTAGCAAAGCAATTTGTATAAATATTTTGGTCTATTAGGTTTAATGGAATATTGTAATCGACTAAGGAAAAAATATTAATTCCTTCCTTACATAATAAATAGGAACTACTTATTTCCATATTGTTTTAATATTTCTTCACTAAACAAAATTATCTGCGAATTTTTCGCACGGGCCAACTAGTATTACATATTTAAGATAGGTAATATGCCTGAGATGTTACAGCAACTTTTTCCTAAAAATCAGCTAACCGGAAATGCCATTTTATTTCATCGATTCTGCACATTTTTCTGAATGAGACGGCTCTAACGATTATGATTAAATTCATTATATCGATGTAAAATCAAGCAGTTTTCAATTTAATGTTGGTTTTATTCTCATTGATGTTCTCTAACAGTGTTTAAATGCCTAATTATCGAAATTTTCTTTCTATAATGTGTCTTTAATTTTTTTGTATTTGAAATAATTAATAATTCCACATAAAAATCTGCTATAAAAATGGTTCATTATAAACTATGGTAGAATTTGATAATTAGCTAAAGGAATAAATATTTATAATTATAAAAAATAAAGCATCGTAAGAGAGTACCGAAGAAACCCGAAGGCGTACCCGAGCTTGGTCGAGAGGTTAGAATAGGTTCTCATAAATGCTAGTGTTGGTATTATTTGACATTTGATTGTTTAGATTACAGAAATATAAAATATTAAAATTTGTTTATATACCAATGCTAACACAAATAAAAACACCTACAATGAAATATAAATAAGTATAGTGGCTTTCTTTATCAGTGGCATTCTTGTCCAACTAAAAATAGTTCTTGGTACTTAATTATTTATTATAATCAAATAAATAATTAAAATATACAGTCGTAAAAAGGAAATGATTAGTAAAAACCAAAAGGTTAGGAAAAACAATTGACTGCTATAAACAACATATGGTAAATTATTGTTTTAAATAATATTACAATACAATCTAATTTTATTATCACTTCCCTTTGCCTGAAAAAATCTATTTCTGTTAAAAAAAAAGTTGTGATACGCTCACCACTTTTTTTTTTTATTATAACTAGGAGCTAATCCTTGTCCCTAACCCTCTTTTGCAAATTATACAACTGTTATAATTGGTAAATGGTTGACTGTAGTGAATAATGAAGAGAATAATAGCTGTGGTGATCAGTCAAATAAGAAGGCAAAAATAAATAGTATCATTCATTTTTGCCTTGTTATTTGACTGATCACTCCAACTATTCTTCTCTTCATTCTATAACTGTTAATTTAATTGTACTACTCCTTGCTCAAATTTTATAATTTAAAATTGCATGTGTTCTGTAGTTCAGAATGTATTATTTTTTAGGTAACATAAAATAAATTGAACAAAACCACAATTCGGTAATAATTTTAATTTCTTTAGAAATTAATGTTACACATGACGTCTTATTAGCTATTTAAATTATCAGATAATTATAATTATTCTTATTGAAAAATTGTAACCATAATATTTATTCAACTTGTTCAACATAATATAAGCCGAACAAAAAATTTAAGCCTTTTATTTATAATATTTTCATTGTTCATTATATTTTCATTGCTTTTCTATTACATAATAATTATAATTATATCACAATATAATATAAATAATAGTATATATGATATAATAATTAATATGTCAAGAAGAAATGTAAACATTGACAAATAACTGCTGTCACTTTGCTAAAATCAAACTACCATCTCCAGATGAATAAATACCATTTATCCTACAAATTCATATGTTGTACCAGGAGGTTACAGGAGCTCAACTGGTATGTTCTTAAATGAACGACTATGTAATTAGTGTTAATTATAGAGCTAATAGGAGAGCTCCTGTAATCTCCTACTCTCCTATTACTAAAATAAAATATGATATACGCTAAAAACTTGTTTATGTAATAGAGAAATAATATCTGTATTATTATATTTAGATATTTGCTAATTGCTTTTATTATGATTTGCAGGTCGACATTACCCTCAGAGCCTTAAATGACACTGATGATATAATCTTACATTCAAAGCACCTAAAGATAGATGAGGAATCCATATCATTCTTAGAACTTCCAAGTCAACCTGAGGTAAAATTATTTATTCCGAAGTTATATTTATTATTCTTCAATGATTTTATTTAACTTATTTTTTCTAAGACTTTCGTTGACGATTGCAAGATTGTGATTGTGTGACTATTTATTTATTATTTTATTGATACAGGACAACTCTGGACCACTTCTTTTTTTCTAAACATTTTCTAACACAAATCACTTTTTTTTTCCTTTTTTGTGGTTTATTTTATCCTCTACACTTCCTTCTTCTCGGAGTGTTGTGTCTTCCTCTTCTCCAACCACTTATTTCCCGCCCTCCTTTTCCCTGCAAGGACTATCCTTTGATCAACACGTTTCCGGGAATCTACTCTATCCATAGTGTACCAAACCTTGCTTTTTATATTAAGTTTGACTATTTCATTCTTTATCTGTTCTGGATAACCCTTTATATTCTCGAGTCCTGGCACTTTATCAAAAAATATCTTACTCAATCTATTCTAGTCCATCCTGACCACATGCCCATAAAATCTCACTCTGTTTTTGTTACTAATATCTTCATATCATCTACTCTTATGTACAATTTTCTATTAAACCTCATTCTATACTCTCCCTATATTTTCTTAGGGTTATATATATTCCATAGGATTTTCCTTTCAGTTTTTAACAACCTCTCCATTCGTATTTGTGAACCCTACAGTTCTGCACCGTACAATCACCGGTTTTAAACAACTTTTGTAGTGCCTAGGTTTTGCCACCTAAGATCATTTTTTTTTTTTTTGCAAACCAATGTAGATAATTTTTTTGGATTTAAATCCATAATTTAAAAAGTCATAATTAAATCCGATCAAAATTTTTATCTGAAATTTTTAAAAATCATTTGATGGTTTTTATCAATAGGAATTTATATTTTTGATCGCAAGTGGTAAAAATAATATTCTGATCATTATTTTTCAACAAAATTTTTACAATTAATAATAATATTATTAGTGCTCTTGAGGCCTATTTAGACCAATGAAAATGATATTGCCATATTCTAACTTTTAAAAAACAATTGAAAATTTTCCACGAATAAAAATTAATCAGTATTTCTATACCTTCCAGCAAACAGACAGTACTCGGATGCCTCGCGATGGAACAGAAAACATCACAGTTTCCGAAGGCCATGGTGAGAGCAGACACTTACTGAGGATTGGTTTGCCGCAGACATTGCAGAAAGGAGGGCGATATGTGCTGTCCATCGCCTACAATGGGACGATGAACAAGGCCAGGTCTTCAGGCATCTACTGCAGGCAATATAAGCATGGCAATCAAACAAGGTACTACTCCTATAATGTCTTAGTATATCAACATCATCTTTAACTATTTTCCTTTCGAGTGAATTTAAAAGATCTGCACTGGAAGAATTTTTATTGATATGACGAGTTTTATTAAAATCGATAGCGCCCTTTTTGATAAAATTGTAAAAATATGTAAAATCAATCATACAAAGCACTATTTTTGGTAAGTTGGTTATGACAAAAAAGTTGCTGTAATATTCCAGGTATATAAAAATCTTAAATATATAATTTCTGTTCCATATTACTTTTCGTAGTATGTTTGAGCTGGGCTTTTCACCTTACACACCTAACCTTTTTTTCGAGAGTTGGTTAATTGGACTCAGGAGACTCTAGAAATTTTAATTTCCTTGAAAACTCGAATTAAAAATCTTTAATGATTGCAATACTTTCCCTTACTTTATATTTCATGTAGGGGTAAGTGAAAGTAAAAAAATTGCTCTTATACAACAAATATTTTTTTTAAATAAAATTTTCATATATTTTAATCGCTATTTTCTTTCTCCCTTTTTGTTACTTTTTTTAAGTAATTTTTTTCTTTCAGTACAATTATATCAATATGTTTGCTTTAATTTATGGCAGGTGGTTGATGTCGGCCTCCTTTGAACCCTACCTAGCCAGGTCTGCGTTTCCATGCTTTGATGAACCTGGCTACAAAGCCAAATTCAGCCTGAAGTTGGGACATCCTACAGACTACATTGCAATATCCAACATGCCAGCAATAGGAGTTCAACCGTTGTAAGTATAAAATTCAGATAGTTATAAGTATCTGAATATATTATACTAGGACAAATTAATTAAGTTTATTCTACATAGGGAGGATCAAGAAGGATATTCCGTGACAGAGTTCGAAACCACTCCTCTGATGTCTACATATTTGATTGGCTTCCTTGTTAGTCAGTTTCCATCAAGATCAGTGAAGCTGAGTGATGAACGTCCTCTGACCGTGTGGGCCTCCAGTGAGCAGAAGTTGCAAGCAGCTGACTTGGCACTTCTCTATGGACGAAAACACCAGCAGTTCTTTTCTGAGTACTTCCAGCTGAAGGATCCCATGCCAAAGATTGACTTCTTGGGTATCAGGCATTACCAAGCTGGTGGACTGGAAAACTGGGGTATCATCAGCTTTGAGTATGTAGTGTGATTTTTTATGTTAAAATTTTCTACATTAATTTATCTTAAAGATGTCTATTAATTTACTTTCTCAAACTTAATGTAAGGATTGTTTATGTTACATAGAGAGAGATTGATCATCCTTGACTCACCAAGCCGTTCCAGACGAGCGAATCGCCTCAGAGCTTCTAGTCTTATTGCTCATGAGTTGGTCCACATCTGGTTCGGAAACTTGGTCACTCCTAAGTATTGGGATGATATTTGGCTCAGTGAGGGATTTTCCTCATACTTCGCAACATTGGCCACTAACAATGTATGTTTTGGTTATTAATTATTTATTTTCTGTCAAATCAAATTAATTTTTGTGTCCAACAAACTATAATGATAATAAATCTTAATGTAAGTTATTTATGTGTAAAAACTAAACTGATTGGTTGGTTTCAGATGTTCCCCACAACTGGCTATGACATCCAGTCTTTTGTATTGTCAAGGTTGGCTGCCATGTCGGCTGACAGTTTGCCAACAACTCATCCTCTACAAGTGGACGCAGCCAGCCATCCTACCGGAGATCTTTTTGACGAAATAACTTACCACAAAGGTAAGTTATTTGAATAAATTGCTGAAGTAAATAAAAGCTTACTAATTTGCTACCAAAGTTAAATTTAGATTGATATTGATGCATTTTTTAATAATGCAGGGTCTTAAATTTTTAATCAACTAGGTAAATCTAGAACCATTCAGATAGATATGGGTTACATACTTCGATTTATGGGAAAATTTAATTAAAGCCTAAAGCTTTCATGGGTTCAATTTATTAACAATCAAGTTTTTTTAATGATGATTACATTATACATTTTATTAAAATCTGCCAGATACTAGTAAGTAATATTACTTTCATAGAATATGAAAATTAATAATGTTCTTCATATGTTCTTAGTGTAAATAAATAAATCACAACTTATATATACAACCTCAAAATTTTGGGGTTTTGGACCATCTTCAGAATTTCATTACAATATAATTTAATTTAATTAAAATTATAAATGTCATAATTTACTGTCAGGAGTTTCTATAATACTTTGAATGTTGCACTGACATAAATGTTATGTCTTATTCTTATTTTATTTATTTTTATTTTTCTGGCTCAAATAATTACTCAACAATATATAGCCACATACAACAATGGTTTTATTGTTTGTGGCTATATATATTTTTATTTTATTTTTTATGAAATTTGTTTTATTTTTTTGAAATCATGAAATTTGTATTTATTTATTTTCATTTATTTATTTTTTTTTTTATGAAATTTGGGAGTGGGGTAGCTCAGTGGTAGGGCACTAAGCTTCCAATGCGCGAGGTCCCAGGTTCGAATCCCGGCGCATGGCAGAATAATTATTTATTCTGTTTTATTGGCCATGGGCGACCTCGGGGCAGGGAGACCCTCCTGGGGCACACCCAGCCTCTACAAAGTGGGTATCCTTAATTAAATAATTGATTAAGGGGGAAAATATAGCAGTTAAGCATGATCCTGGCCCGATCCCCTCCCTGCACAACTGTTGACCTTGAAACAGTAATTTCCCTAAATAGTACTGAACCCAAGACACTTCATGGGTTGTAAGTGGTACAGGTTGTCTTTTTTGTTTTTTTATGAAATTTATATTATAATACAGTGAGATACTGAACAGCGGAGAAGCCCCTAAATGTTGGGGTTGTGATATACTTATTTATTTTAAATAAAAAACATATGAGGAAGATTAGTAATTTTCAAATCATATTTAAAACATGATTGAAGATAATTTGATCAAATAATAATGAATTTGCGTCCTGGTGCTGAAGGGGGAGGGATAGGGATTTTTAACTCTGACATTAATTCCTCACTCTCACCCGCTGACCTAGGAAAACCCTGTATAGCCTAAAAGGTGAGGAAGGTTAAGACAAAAAAATAATAATAAAGACATGAAATAATTATTTCTAATTGCAAATAGTTTATTTAAACAACATTATTTATTAGACATTTTATTCATATAAAAATATAATTAAATTTTAAGCAATAATTGCTATAAAATTATACACTTAAATTTACTAAATTACTTTAAAATTAACCCTAACAGGTGAGATGATTGTAAGAATGTTAAGCATGGTATTTGGTGAGGATAAATTGAAATCAGCTCTTCAGGAGTATCTAGAAGAGCACAAGTATGGGTTGGCCTCAGATACAGATATCTGGAATACTCTCGAAAAGAAATTGGAACCTGGAAGTCTTCCAGAAGGAGTAAGTCTTGCAGAAATCATGGAAACTTGGACTAGAAAAGCAGGATATCCTATACTTATAGTAAACAGAAACTACACAACCAGTCAGGTGACAGTATCACAGGTCAGTGCTTAATTTTATTAATTTGTTTATCAACAGGGTTTGAGATCGATAATTTAAAAAAATAAAAACTGACCAAAATTTTTATCTGGAATTTTTAAAAATCATTTGATGACTTTTATTAAGAACAATTTTTATTTTTGATCATGAATGATAAAAATCATGTCTTGATCATTATTTTTTAACAATCAACAATAATTATTATTACTGAGTAATACTTTTTTAAATCAGAAATATAATTTTTTTCTAATCTCTGTGATATATTTTGAGTTTAGAGAAGTAGGTGGAGAATATTGTTGTCAACTATTAGCAGCATAACATTTTTATTTCCAAAATTTATTAGAAATTTTTATTAGGAAAAAAAATAAACTTATGTATAATGGGTGATTAAAATTCAAGACACAATCATTATAAAGTTTTTATTAGTGCCAATGTTTCAACTCAAATATGTGGGTAATCACTTCAATACCTTTAGTGCTCAAAACACGTCATGATGATTACCCACATGTTTGGATTGAAACATCGGCACTTATTAAAACTTTATAATGACTGCGTCCTGAATATTTATCACCCATGATATTTAGAACAGTTGATTAACTTCATTCAATATTTATGTATACATATATATAGTGCAGGTACCACATGTATAATTAATGTGAATTCAGAAATATAATATTTAAAAATGCATACACCAATAACATATACATGCATGTGTGTAAAAGGTGATTTTTATTTTCTGATCAATTTTTTTTATCATTATTATTTATGTAAAACCATATCTCTCAGTGAGGGATCATTATTTTTAATCAAATAAATAAAGATCAAAGATTGATTTAAATTTGTATTTATAAATTAGTCACTATTTTTAAATTAAAAATCAAATATAATAACATGATTTTGTGAAAAAAATAATTATTAATTTCAAACCCTGGTTATCAGTATTAGTAGTGTCCTTAAAGATGAGCAATAATAAACAGCTGTTATATTTTAAATATTTACATTTACCAACTGTATTTTGAAAACCATTATTACTTACTCTTACGTTAGTTGAAGCACCACTCAGTTTATCAAAATATCAAAGTAAAAGGTAGTTCTTTTTTCAAACAATTCTTACCTATACAGCGCTACCCCCTAATTCTAATTAGATTCCTTGATTGTTGAATATTTTCCTCTCTTTTTATGGACAGGCTCATGATATATGTGGCTGTGATAATTGCCCGAACACATGTTAAGGGTTTGCCTGCATTGACATTCTCAAATCTAGCAGAGCCGGTTTGAATCCAGCGAGAGCAGGTTGACATTTATTTTGTGGGGACCATGAAATGAATCTCAACCTTTCCCCTTTGGTTAGAATATGTTTGGTCGTACCTCTAGAACAACCCCCCTGAATGCCAGGAATGGCAAGGTTACTGGGAAATAAAAAGTACATGATATATTCCAAATACAACATTCTTGAGTGTCCTTGAGGTCTTATAATCAAGAATTTTATTTATATTTGTTTATGATTCAACATTTTATCCTAAACAAAACATGATTTGTTACATAATAAAATAAGTAGTTGTTTTGTACATATTTTGAATGTATCCTATTAAAAAGAAAAATTATAGAATCCCTCAACACTTAGAAAAACAGTATCTGCATTACCTCTAAAGACAATATTTGGATCAAAATTGGTTGGCTATTGCTGGAAGTGTTAAGTTTAATATTTAATACACAACCTATGTATGATTGGCGTAACTCGCAAATATAACCAAAACAGGCTACTTGCCGATTTGGAAGAGTTTGAGGAGGTGCTTAGTGCCTGCGCTGTTTTGTGAACATTAGTGCTATGGAGCTCTTAAAAAAAAAAAAAAAAAAAAATGTTGAAACTTTCATTATCACTTTTATCTATGATACAATATATTTAATAGGCGAGGACCTGAAACAAATTAAATATTAAATTTATATGATATGTTTGCTTAGATTTGGGTATTACAATCAAAGGTATTTTATATCACTCAAACAATAAATGTGAACGAATATTTTTTTAAAATAAATAATATAAAGTTTTTAAACTGAATGTGTAAAGATTATATTTTTAATCTTTGGCTATTATGTCATTAAAAATAGTTCGAAATTCTCCATTATCTCTAGAAGTATATTGGTATTAAAATTATATATCTTAGTTATGATAATTTATTAGGCTGTGTTTTCATGAATTGAAATATCTATATTACAGAGTAGTATCCTGGACAGAGATGATGGAGGTTGGTGGATTCCAGTTTCGTATACAGATGCAAAGCAGCGTAACTTCTCAGCAACTCCAAAATTCTGGTTGTCACCAAAAGCTACAAACTATACTTTCAACACCTCAGCTGCACCAGGAGAATGGATTCTCTTCAATACAAGAGCTGCAGGTTGAACACATAGTATAACAAAAAAAATCCATTCCCCGTTTCAATACTGTTCTGAAAAATAATGAAGAGAAGATAAATCATTAGTTTTTTTAGACAGAAATAATTTTATTTCAAAATGAAATATAATTTATCCATAACTACTTTTAAAACCTCAAATGTTCTGAATCTATGTACTTTATGTTAATTTTCTGATGTTTAACAAACCTTCAAACTTCTAATAACATTTATTCATTCATTTGTGATTACTTGATTGTTTATTTATCACTTTTTCTATTTTAAAAACTCACCATTGTTTAAATTTATACTACAACTACTACCCTGGGATGCAACAGACCAGTGCAGTCATTAGCTTCCTTGATAAGTCTTCTTAAGCCCCAGACCCTCTTGAATTCTGCATCCTCCCATCTTAATCCTGGTCTGTTTTTTCTCTAACCTCATATAGTTTCTTTGACAACATCTCTGGGATCTCATCTGATAACATTTTTGAAATGTGGCCAGCATTAATTAATCTCCCCAACTATGTATATCATCATAATTTTTTTTTTGCACCTCTTCATTTTTTCTTGTTCTCCAATTATTGCTGTCCTTCACAGGTCCAAATGTGCGGTGAAGAATTTTTCTCTCAGAAAAAAAAGAACCTTTTGAAATCTATAAATTGTCATAATTTTAAAACTATTGATGTTATTTATTCGAATCCATTCTATCAAATAGGAAAAAAAAGGGTAAGCAGTCAATCAAGTGTGTGTATTTAAAAAAAAAATGACAATAATTCCATGAGAAGAAAATAATTTAGAAATTCAAAAATAAAAAGAAATATTTTTTTAAAAAATGGACTTTCCATACAAAACATTGGAGTATTAATGAATGAACAAAGAGATACAATTTGATTTTTTTTTTAATTTACGAATTTATCATATGATAATATACCTCTATACTTTATTTTAATTTTAATCATCTTCCTGATTTCTTTCTGATGTCTACCTTCATCCCTCTTGCAGGATATTATAGTGCAAGATACGACATGGCGAACTCCTTCCTTCTCGCTGATGATTTAGATCGGCTGCCATTGCTTGAGAGAATTCAAGTTCTTGGAGACATTCTTCAACTAGGTTATCTTGGCCAATCTCCAATTGAGCTATCACTTGATTTGGTTCTTCACTTTAAAGCTGAGCTATCCCCTCTTCCTTGGTTTCCTCTCTTGGAGTACGTACCAAAGTATGTTGCACTGTTCAGAGGTACTGAGGGTGAGCATGGTTTTGTGGTAAGTAACATACCAACAATACTTAACTAATTATATAACTTTTAAATTATATTATTATACTCTTCAGATATGAACAAGAATTATTCAGAAAGTATTGAGATAAAAATTGGCAAAGGCTCTAATGTTTTTTTCATATAAAATAGTTCTTATAATGTTATAAAAGAATTAATATAATATGTTAACACAATATTCCAATTAAGTTCTATCCCTAATTTCTTTATCTTTGTTTCTAAGTTTAAATAATTACCTAGTTCTGCCATAAATACTGTTACAAAAGTTGAACTTTTTTTACATCCTTGGGTATTATTTAGATAGTCCTTACCTCTTATCAGGTTATTTTCTTTACATGTCAGGATAATAATCCCAATTATTTTGTATTTTTCTTTTGCTCAGTTAACATGGAGTGGGGTGATAAAGAAAACCGAATAGCTGTGTTCGCCTTACATAAAGTTGGAAAATGTAGGTCAGATATTTTCAACACTTTGAAGCCTTTGGGTAACAGCTGTATGTTTGTGCATCGCTCTATAAATAGATATATTGAAACCCTATCTGTATGTGACAGACCTTGACTGGACGTGTTGTCCCTGCACTGTGAGAACGGTGAATGCAGTAAGAGCAGTGGCTGCTCGAATCAAAAGAAATCCCATTCTAAAACAACAAATCATGTCTCGGGTAATGGAAATCTCTGTCAGCTCAATGTCTTGCATAATAAAAAGTGACCTTAAGATGGGCGCATTTCGAAGAATGACAGGACAAAGGCTAACCACTTCCCTAAAAAAAATTAGAGTGGATAGATGCACAGTGCTCTTTGGCTGTTACACCAATAGTCTTCATTGAAAGACTTTGTTTAGTGATGAGAAAGTCTTTCCAATTGAACACAAATTTAATCACCAAAATGATCGTGTGTACGCACTTAGCTCTAAAGAAGCCCAGGAAGTCATTGGAAAAGTGGAAAGAAGTCATCACCCTTCCTCTGTGATAGTTTGGTGGGGAGTTTGCTTTGATGGCACCACAAAGTTCCATTTTTGTGAAAAAGGAGTTAAAACAGCCGCTAAAAACTACCAGGACTATATTTTGGAACCTGTTGTCAAGCCTTTAAATGATACTAATTATTTTTTCTGTTTAAATCTGCATATATTTCCTTTCAACAATATTTATGACAGGACTAGGTAGTTACAGTTAAAAGAATCTTTATGATTGTATCAAATGCGATAGAATCTATCATAATTACTGTTTTCATTTTTTCAGAATATGTTCCAAGGTGTGCTGGGTAATGAGTTCGACAGGCTGACAAAGGATTCTCCTCACACCAAACAGATGTTTAAAGTATCTTGTCGCATTGGAGTGAAGAACTGCACAGAGATGGCTCTATCTATGTTTGAAGATTGGAAAACAAACAGTTCCAAGTAAGAGAAAAGAATGAAACATAAACAAATATTTTCTTAAAATATTTAGCATAATGGAAATCACAATCACACGTGAATGTTTGTTTTCATGTGAGAGTATGTGTGTGTTTTATTCTACGCAAATATAATATCTGTTATAAGAAAAGTGGATGAAATTTCACTATATAACTTCCACTAAATAAAATAAGATTTATTTCAAGACAAACTCTATTTAACTCTTCTTCCATCATGGCACTAGCGGATACAGGATTTAATTATGGAAGGGGGCTTTAGCCCGAAAGATTTTTTTTCATATATATAACGATAGTTAATTTGAAAAAAAAAAAAGAAGAAAGAAATGAAATACCTATATGAAATGGTGTTTAAGTGATTCTTAAAGTCCTATTAAATGTAATTACACGAACAATAATACTATAAGAGATATATTTTTTTCTTAAAAACATGGTTATATTTTATCGTTTTGGGGGGCCTTAACCCGGAAGTCCCTCCCCCCCCCCTCCTCCGTAAATCCGCCTATGCATCATGGAAAAGAGAGAAATAAAAAATAGTAATCAATTATCAATATAAAAAGTTCAGCACTCCTTTGGTTTGATAATTGTAATACATTCTTCATTGGCCAATGTTTGGTTTCCAAATATAATAATATTACTTTAAAAAGAAAAAAAAATTATTTATTATACTTTTGCCAACACAATTATTTTAATTTGTAATGAACTTACTTATGATGATCAATAAAGATATTATAAAAGTATTTTTGCTTTATAGAGTACCAGAAGAGCTCCGCTACAGTGTACTGTGCACCGCTGTTGAAAAGGGAAATGCCAGCACATGGTATTACCTTGAAGAAAAGTATCAAAGTCTAAAAGATGGATGCAAGGAAAAGAAGGATGTTCTCAAAGCTCTGGCCTGCACCTCAGACACAAAATTGTCCAATAAGTGAGTTTCATATAATGTATAATATATAGATATATTATATATTTTTACCAATAGATGACTACCATATTCCTTATTTTACTCCCTGGCTCTACCATTTGATGGGAGATAACCGATTCGTATGCATATAAAAAAATGTAAACATATTATCTCAGATTGTCAAGGGTTTGGTCAAGAAAGAAATACACAGTATGGTTATAACTCCTTTACTGCCTGCTAACATAAAAAAATTACAGAAAACATAAATGAAAATTAACTCAAACTTAACATATTTTGAGGAAATAAACATTACTTGGGGTACTTTTTAATTTTTCATAACTTTAGTTTTCAGAATAAATTTTAAAATATGCAAAAATTCTTCTACAGGTATTTGAACTGGGCACTTGAGACTAAAACTTCCAAAAAAGGCACTAAGAAATCTGATACTATGTTGAAAGCAATAGCAGAGAGGGATCCATCATTGTTGCTATCAACATTTGTAAATGAATCATCTCTTCCTAGAATGTAAGTATTTAATTATTATAATACAGCAGCACTGGAATAATTTATTTTTATATTTTAAGGTTAGAAAGTAATGTGATAAGACTCAGTTTAATTTATCAGTTAACAATTGTCTCAATCCTCAAGTATACATCATAATCTATTTCTTTTCAGTAAAAAAAAAAACACTCTTCTTTTTACAGTCTCATATACATATATATATGTTTAGGAGCTTTCGGTGCTCTGCACCATATTCATCTAAAAAATATTTTTTAAATACATATTAAATTAGAATATATTTGCAATATATATATATTTAACCATACAATAAATTAAAAAAGTTATAAATTAAATTTGTTAATTGTCCCTCCAGAATCCTCCCATATTTCCAAATACCTTTACAATGCTAGTTCAAATTTTGGATTTCGTTCTTAGTACGAATTTCATCAATCATTATAGATTGGTGTCTAAATTTAGAAAAAAAATTGTTAGGGCTTTTCCATCTGTTAGTTAAAAGATAAAATAAAATAAAAAATAATAATAAAAAAAAATTAAAAACCATGATGTAATAGGTGATTGAGTGTTATAATTCCGTCTATTTTAATTAACCAGTACCAAGAATTTACTTATATTATCACACTATAGGAGGAGAGAGGACCCGTGTTGTACTTAACTTTCCAGTTTACAGTCTTACTCTGGGATTTGAACATGTGTTATCGTCAGAACTCCAACCCCAAAAGAACCTTAACCCCCTCCACAGTTAAATTTAAAGAAGGAAAATTTTTATTTAAAAAAAATATATGTATATTTCTCTGAGTTAGGCAAAAAAACAACATGTTTATACATCTGAGACATCCACAGATATATTCATATATATACACACACATTCAAAAACTGCAATTATAAATACATTTTCACAACATATGTAGGTACATCCGTGTGTATGTACTTACGTATGTTGTACGCATATGTCATTGGAATACTTTAATACCTGTCTTATTATTTGATTGTATTGTTTTGAAATATTAGCTGAATCAAGTTTTGAATTCATAATGATCCCTTGGTTACCTGATATGTAAATGGCATTAATGACCTTTGTTTTGGGCCTGATTTTGACTTATGGAGAATTTTTGTATTTTCAAAATTAATTTCATGTGTATGGGTTTTAAATTATTTTTATGACAATTTTTACAAGGAATTTGGTTTATCGGATTACGCTCATTTTAAATCGGGGTTTTGTCCTTAATTTTTATAATTTTCTAATCGGATATTGTGGTTTTAGACCAAACTTAATCCATATCTTTCAGTGTTTTTATAATTTTGTATGTTAGGCCACTTACATAGGTTTTTGATTTATATTTAAAAGGATTAATTTTTTTTTCTTGAGTGGTTCCTTTATAGTCCCGATGCAGAGCACCGAAAGCTTCAATACATAAATATATGAGACTGTAAAAAGAAGGGTGTTTTTTTTTTTTTTTTTACTTTCAATATTATTGCACAGTCTATATATTAAACTTATCCATATTTTTCTTTCATCACTTTTCAGGTAATAATTCGTATAGTTTTAGTCAGTTTTTAAAAATAAAAACAATAATAAATTCAATAATTATTGTTATTAATAATTTACATATCAACTATTTATTTTAAATTATAATACTTACCAAAGGCCTTATAGTTTACACAAATACAACTATATTTAATCAATTCACAATATACCTGAAATAAATTTACAGACACTTTAAAACACTTTAACAAACTGAGTAGCCTCAACACTGACATTTTGACAACACTGGGAACTAAATTTTTAACTTAATTTTTCATAAACTTATGTGTTACTATCATAAAATGTTACATAATTTTTACTTTTTTTTTTTAATGCAGAAATGATGTTTAACAATAACAATCTTTTAACTGATGTTAATCGTAACTGGTATTTATGAGGTACATGCTCCCATTCTCATCTCATTACATATCATAAATTATTTATTTTAAATACCATCATTCCTATTTTATAATTAAATAACAATATAGCAAATGATTTGGCTGTTAGGTGTTTATTTAAGTTTAATTTATGGAGGATTTTTTGTATTTTCAAAATTAATTTCATGTGTATGGGTTTTTGCATGATTTGATAAGGATATATTTGTTTTTGATTTTAAATTATTTTTATGACAATTTTTACAAGGAATTTGGTTTATTGTAAACTTCTCTGTATAACTACGTCACATACTTTAATATCTGTTGCTCAAGAACAATATGTCCTTACCGAATACTCAAGCTAAGATACTTGTAGTGGTACAAGTTCTTTTTAATAAACATTTCATTTAATTATTATTTTATTAGAAATACATTCTAATTGTAATTATTAGATAACAAAGAAGGTAAAATTAACATTAACATCCATGAAATCACCTCAATTGATTATTATTTTCTGTTTGAAAGATTAATGAATATTTTTTCTCTTATGGTAAATTACTTCTATACTCCATTTGTCAACTTGAATTTACAGATCCAAGAGCATGCGATGGAAGAGGATCCTCGAAAAAGTGGCGCTTAATGTTTATAATGAAGAACAGTTAAATCAGGTAATATATTTTTACTTATCATTGAACTTAGTTATTCTGTTTTTGGTTCCATTCTTAACTCTATGATTCCACTATATTAATCTAGGTTAAACAACTGAGGTTATTAAGACCAAACATGATTAGGTATAAGTCCCATAATGTTAAAAAAAAAAAAATGTGTGTTCAATTGCTATAGGTGTCAGTTAATACTTACTTACTTACTGCATGGCGTTACAGTCCATTAAGAACCACAGCCTCCTCCAATATCCTGCTCCATTCTACTTTCTCCATCGCCTGATGTTCAGCTGGCGGAGCTCCTCTTCCGCATTGTCCAGCCATCGTTTATGAGGCTTACCTGTCCTTAGTGAGCCACCAGGATGACCGTACACATTTGCATAGGCAATCTTTCGACATGTACAAGCCAATCTTCTTTTCTTTATGACATTAACTATGTCCGCTTCTGGGAATAGTTATTTCAGTTCGTAGTTCGTTCTCACTCTAAACCCATCACCCTCTCGCACAGGGCCAAATATCCTTCTTAGAACTCTTCTCGCCCATGTCCTTAGCCTTCTCTCATTAGTTACTGTCATAACCCAGGTTTCACTGCTGTTAGTTACTGTGGGCCTAATTATAGTCTTATAAAGCAATACCTTAGCTATTCTTGAGAGATTTTTAGAACACGCAGCAGCAACTCGAGTCTTTATGTTCTCTGTCATTTCATTTTCTCTTGTGACGATTCCACCAAGATACTTGAAGGTCTGTGAAGTGGTGCTCCCTGATCTTAACCTCTTCTTCCTTGAAAATACCATCTCTAGTGCTCTTCAGATATTTTTTCTCTTTATTTATAATCAGGTCTAATTCATTAACAGCTGTTTCAAACTCTTTTATTGTCCCTGCTAGTACCAGCAAAGATCTTCAGTTAATACTAATATATTTTTTTATATAACTTTTTTTCGTGAAGATTGAATTTTCTTTAGAAAAATAGTATTTTTTGTATCAAATAAAATTTCTATATGTATTAAACCAAAAGTAATGTTTTAAAACATATAAAGTGTATATCATTCAAAAGGGCTCTCAATTTTTGTGCATTAAATTGAATAATAATTAAATAAGGAAAAATCTATTTATATTAAATTAGAAAAAATTCTATCCATATATTAAATACGAACAAAAAATTATTTTTTTATCACTGTTTGGGCATCAAACCTTACATGTTTTATGTGGTTTTTGTTAATTGACAATAAAATTAAATTTAGTAATAAGTAAGTCATTCAAAAGGGCTCTCACTTTATGTACATTGGGTTGAATAATAATTAAAACAAGAAAAAAACAAAACATACTTTACAGTTCTACAAAACTTTGGAAATTTGGAGATCTTCTTAAAGAAAATCAATTTTGGGTTCTCATGGTTGTCAGATTTTCTGAATCTACTTTTAAACAAATGGTTAAATTTTCATTTTAAATTTATTTTCCTTACAATAAAAAATCATTAAGTGTGAAAAAAAAGGGTGACTTATTAAAAGACGTAAAATGTAGAATAAAAAGTAAATATGTGACAAAAATTATGAAATTGCAGGTATAATATCAACAATTTAAGAAAATTGTGACTTGGTTATTAATTGTCGCTCAAATATTTTGAAAAAATCTGGTGTGTCTACTCACACGACTTTCCTACCTATTTCAGAAAAGTTTTTATATCTTTACATATGTCAATTAAAAAAAAAAAAATTGAATTAGATTTATTTTCCAGCAAATTGATCAAAGAAATTATTTAAGTACGATTTCTTAGATAAACTAAAGCAATGTAAACTGGCTTGTGGAAGATCAGCCTAAAAAATTCATTTACTGCAGAATACATACTTAATGAATTATGCCCCAAAACATTTTTCTATTTCTTTTAACTTGTTTTCCTGTATTTTCTTGAGAATATAGGACATGTAGAAAAATTGAAAGGACATTAATTATAAAATTATAGGAAAGTTTCATCAAAATTGTTAGCCGTTTTAGCGCAAGTCTAGAGAAAAATATGTTTTTCACTTATTGCGCATGAAGCACCCAATTTGTGTCACAGGCTTCACTAGTCAAAATCCTACAAAATAAAAAAGAAGCAACAATATTGGTCCACTAATTTTCGAGATAATATTGGCACAAACAGACAGACATTGGCTGAAAATGTGTTTTTCGGACTCAGGGGGCTCTGAAACTTATAGATCTGTCGAAATTTCAGAAATTTGACCCGATCACAATACTTTCCTTACCTAGTATAAGTAGGAAAATAAAAATAGGAAAAGATTAAATCCATGAAGTATGATAAAATTAATAAGCATAATTAAAATTTAATACCTTTAAAATTGCCATTGATACTTATTTAACTCTAATAAAATAACTGTTATCGTTTTTAGTATCACGAGTATGCAAATTATAATATTTTTATATATTGAATTTTTTTCAAAGAACATTCATATTCGATATAGGTACTTATTGATTGTATTTCCTTCAACAAAACTTATATAATGAATCCATAATATTATTAATTCTTGCCAATAATCTATTGATCAATCAGATACAGAATTTTTAATTTGTTCAAGGTTCATTACAATTTATATTATGTAAAATTTATATTATTATATCGTATTAACAGATAAAAATTAATTAATCTATTAAAGCCAAACAGACTTCAGTGCTTCTAAGGAATATTGATAACATCAATGTTTTTTATGTATTGTGAAATGAATACTAGATATATGTTATAGATGATCCACAGGTGTATCGTTTTCAAAAATGGATGGGTTCATCATCAGAAAAATATTTCATTCCATAACTAGTTCCTTTATCTCTTCTTTTTTTTTTAACAGCTGAATTGTAATAATTTAGTTTTATCATTCTTTCAATAATATATTTTAGATAGTAATTTTTATTTATAATTTGCAGCTGAAAAACCTTGTGGAGGAATCCAGAGAAAAACTGAAATCAGCTGATTTCACTGAGAGAAACAAAATTGTTGATATTGCTACAAGAAATGTTGAATGGGTCAAAGGAAATCAAAATAAGGCAGTAGAATGGTTTAATAAGTTACAAAGGAATCAAAAAGCATAATACACAACAAAATGAGTTTATTTTTATGTTCAACTACATGTATAACGATTTATCAAATTTTAGCTGTTAACATTTAGGTAAAAATGATAAGTAAACAATGAAACAAAGAGATCTCAATGCTTGAACCAAAGCTGATACCTCAGGTTCAAATGGTTTTGTGCCATAATGTTTGTAAATTTTACATGAAAAATAACTTTTTGTATTCTGGAATATTTTATGGTTAAATATGTTATCTTTTTTGCCAAAAGATTAGGTTTTATAAAATGTAGAAGAATTATTTATATTTTAAGAAACAATTCCAAATAATCAAATAATTTTATTTTTATTTAACAATTTTATAAGAGATCTTATACAATATAATGTGGTTGAACATTGTATTATTTATTTATTCTTATTACTTAAGTTATTTATTTATTTATTGATAATGAAATAAAGCACATGTCAAACAAAGTAATTTTTATTTCTTTTGCACTCTACCTGATATATATATTTATTGCAATACAATTATACTCTCTTATACCATTGGTTTCTGGCATGTTGAAGCAGTAAAATATAGACAAGGTCAGTAATGCCAACAGAAAAAAAAAAAATCTGGTGCGGTGCGCACATGGAACAACTTTCACTTACCATGCCCTTCTTTGCAGAAATCAGTATTTTGAGACAAAGGGGAGGTGAAAGTAAAAATCATAAACACTATACTGATTTATATTTCTTTGTGGGTATTTTTAATTGTTGTCATCTATACAATTAAATATTAAATAATACCAATGAAAACATTTATGAAAACTGACATACAGCTCAGTAATCTTGTACATCGTTGTTGCATTTTTTTTTTTCCCAGCCAGGAGGTGAGGGCGGAGATGTAAAAGACCCCCGACACTAGTCCTAGTGTCGGGGGAGTCTTTTAAATCGTACAAACTAATGACTATTTTTATCCGGTTATCTATTTAATTTCAAAGTTTGAAAAACTTTAAACTATTTTTCATTTTTTTCATATGCAATTGTATTTTATCTTCAATAACCTGTCTGATATGAGTCAGTAAAGTAAACATTTATTCATTTTCACATTTTGATGGAGAGGAGGAAGGTTTGGTGGGCAAGGTTAGTCCATAGGCCAGACCCCCTTACTGTGCTCTTTCCCCTCACATCCCTATAAAATTCAAATTGCTGTGTTCCTTCAATTTAAAAAAAAAAAAGCCAATGTTCCCACAAAACAATGCAAAAAGGGCCTTAAACACTGTAGGAGACATTTTTCAGGCATTGGAGGAGTCTACAACTAAGATGAAAGTCATTAGACCGTATAAATTTAAAAGTATACAATCCTTTGTTTACTTAGGATCCCAGATCAAAGCTGGGATTTATATAAAATAAAGGTAGTAAAGTTAGGATATATAAAATAACAATTAGGAACTTATGTACAGGACGGTCTTGATAAGCAAACAGGTAGATAGCATGGGCTGTTCAGGTAATCAAAATATTTGGATTATCAAAGGTTAAATTTATAATGATGGTAAAATTGCACAATGTAATGTAATGAAAATATAATTATTATCTGTTAAATATAAAGATATTCAATCAATTTTAATTATTGATGTAAAATCGTGCATTTATTAAATATTTTTATTGATTTATTTCTTTATTAACACCTGTTGAATATGAAAGGCAATCCTTATTAATATATTATAATCAATTAAAATAATTATCTAAACATATTTCTTTAAAATAATTAAACATTGCAGATCAAAAGAGAAGAAATCACGAGGACCTTGTCAGTGTGCACATCTATACTCATTTCAATGCTGATTTCCGACCGCACACAAGAGGAACTAGAGATGTCCAGTGTTTTAACTTGAAAGGATCAGATGCCTATGACTTCTATGCAAGCCATTAAAGCTGTTCAAAATCACAATCTTAATCGATAACAGGTCGACAGAACCTCTAATGCTACAGTGAGAAAATATCGTGGCTGCTGATGTTAGATCACTGTTTAGTATCAAAAATTGGAAAGTAGTAAGTACTACAGAATAAAGAAAACTGGCAGTCTACGACTCATTAAATGGATCGCAATTTAGAATAGCAGTAATCATAGTGGCCAAGTCATAAAATTTTCATTAGGATGTAGTAATTTTTGAAAATTTAAAGATATTATTTTTTATAAAATAAATAGGTCTTAAATAAATAATTAACCTTGCTTAACCTTTTTTTTAAATTTTATATATATTTTTTCACATTGTATAATGAAATAGATAAACGGTGATTATATAGCTTTCTCACAAGAATATATCAGAAAAAAATCTTGCCTTTCCACATACCTATTGAGTTGAAATAAATAAAATAAATTTCATATTTAATTTTAAATTTTATCTGCCATATTTTTGTGGACAAGCTATGATGATTACTTTTATTTATTTATTTTTTAATTTTATATGCTAGGTGCAAATATCCGGAAATTAAAAAACATTCAATCATGCACCAAGGTCTCGGTTGCTACAGCTCTTCATGTCACCTCATCGCGATACCTTTTCTAATTATGTTAATGATTTTAATGAAATTTACCTTATAGAACAGTGCAATATAACAGAATGAAAAAATTCAAATCAAAGTACATCATAAAGCAAACTCTTATGATTTTATAAATTATTTTGTAACAGTCATGTTTAAGCAATAAATGCGAATATAGTAGTTTTTTCACAAAGAAGAGCAGTAAAACCCTGGTAAATTAATACAAGTAATTAATACCAATAGTGTGATATTTCACATTTGTTACATAAATACAGAGGTTATTTATGTTCATAAATAAACCGAGATGTTAATGTAATCAGATTTTGGCAAACCAAAAAATCTTTAAAAAAAGAGAAAAAATATTATAATTACATTAAATAATAAATGTGTGCCAAAAGGGGCTTTTTAATTAAATACAAACAGATTATTAAAAAAGTAGAATTATATAATATAACGTTTTGTCCTTATCTATTATAATAAATGAAAATGACAATTTAAAATTAATTTAAATTTTTGTACACTACAGATATAACTATTACTGAAGATTTTCAATTCATCTACTTTTATTTATGATTTAATTGTTTTTATTTGTATAAAATAAAAATTATTATGTAAAAGCGATAGTCATAATCCAAAGTGTATTCCAGAAATTAAATTATACAGAAAAAACCTGTATATAAGCAAACTGAGATGTAACACCAGCAAATACAATGAGCTGAGATATCTAACCAAGTTTAGTACTGTTTTTAAATGATTTCAAGGCTTATTTGCACTAAGTTTACACTTCATATAATACTTGTGGAGTGGGGAATTAACAAATGTAAAGTAATTATGAGTAAATAGGATTTGTATTCAATAAACTGTTATAATTATAATTTTTGCATTTTCTAGTTCCAATTAAAATAATAAAGTTTTGGTTATTTTCTAAGAATTAATTTTCGAGCAATGAGAAATTTTTTAGTAGAATGTTCATCAACACTAGACAAATAAACTTTCTTAGAGTTCAAACTCTCTCAGATGGATTGTGTTTGCTGGATGATTAAAAATTGTATTATCATGAGTATCATAAAAATATTGTAAATGACGAGCAAGCAATATTATCTTTTTTGTCAAAAAATAAAGAACATCAATATACGATTTATATTCTGTATCTCAATATGTATAATTGATTATTTTGTTCTTATTTATATGAATTTAACTCGTGTACTTGTATTCATTATGTAGTAAATATATGTTATAAATGAGAAAAATGTAGTGTAATATAAGTGGTTATTTTTATTTGTTTTAAATACTATTTGTAATTTTGTAAAATATATAATAAATAAACTTGTGTAAAAGTTGTATCCATTACATCCCAAACTTACCGTATAAAAAATAAAGATAAATTAAGCAATGAGAATATAGTTAACGTAAAATAGTATATATCACTATTATTATTTATATTCTTACTGCTTACTTCATCCTTAATTTACTTCTATTACGTTTTTCTTTTGGTTATTTATTTCTGTCTGTACTTTACACATATCTTTTGTATATCTGATTTATTTCTATCTTAATGAAAAGCCAAAAGTTTGGTTCGAAAGTTTTAGTAATAAAATAATAATAACTGAATTATGATGATTTGTTCCGCGATATAAATTACTGACTCTCGACTATAAGAAAAACATTCTATATCATTAACTATGAGCAAAAGGTAATTTTCAAATACTATTATTAAAATGTTAAGATTTTAAATGTTAGCATGTCAAAATTAAAAAAAAACAACTACTTTCAACAAGGCAACCAAGATTGAATTATTCCTCATGAACATGAATAATTTAATATATAGAAAATTAATTACCTGTAAACTTTGAAAGCAATTTAAGCAAACTGTTTTAATTAAAATCAGATATACATTCAGATAATATAAAAATGTAGTTTACAGTACGCACACCAATAAGCATCAGACTGTTTGATTGCAAAGAAAGAATGGGGTAAACTAATTAGAACTCTTCACAGAAACACATTTATTTGTTTTCTTCAATTATGTTTTACCATTTATTAAAAATATATAACGAAACTATTACATATCCATAATATTTATAACTAAAGTTCACTGTCGATATCGTGCATTCAAAACTCCATTTCACTCACTCTTCATACTTATTTACTTATTAGAGAAATACATTTATTTGTTTTCTTCTATTATCTTTTAACATATAATGTATAAGACATAAAAGAGATAGTGATGTGAGACATAAGTGAATCAGACATTAACTTAGGCTATATAACATCTTAAAACAATATACTACATTACAGGAAGAAAATATTTCACAGAATTTAACTTATAAACACATTATGAAAGGTCTTGGAGACCTGTCACTTTAAGAATTAAATAAACAAACATTTAAAAATGCATTCGAAACTCCATTTCACTCACTCTGCACACTTATTTACTTATGACACTTATTAGAGAAATACATTTATTTGTTTTCTTCTATTATGTTTTAACATATATTTTAAAATCCATAAGACAACTATTCTGTATTTGTATTTATAAACACAGTTCACTGTTGGTACTTAAAGATGCATTGAAAATTTCACTTCATTCACTATTTACACTTTTAAGAAACTCAGGATAAATAATTGAACTAAATTCCATAATTTCTAGTGAAAAAAAAAAGTTTGAACTAATGTATAAGACATAAAAGAGATAGAGATGTGAGA